TTATATTTTCTTCTATCTGTTCTTATATTACAGCTATACTTTATGTATTAATATAAGCAATATGTGTAGCGTGCTCAGTAACTTTAGTTCGACATCGATAAATCCGATTTGGAAAGTACGGTCTGCTCAATAAAAAAAATAACCCAGTGGATTTCATCCGACGAGGTATTTTAGTTTTGCCAAAGCATAAGCAAAACACATTGTGTTCAGTAATTTTTTAATCTGCATTGAATAAATTATTAATATTGCTATCCTCTCCTCACGTCAGCCACATCGTTTAATATGAAGATTGATTATAAAGTTATAATACAATGATATCAATTTAAACATTATTTTGTACAGTTACATCGAGGGTTCAATAAATATTTGTTATTGAACCAACATTTTTGAATTTTTTGGTAACCTCAAGTATAAATTAAAAAATAGGTACATATATGTAAATAATATTTTGCAAAAAAAAAAGTTACTAATAAATTCCTTAATATACTTAATGAATACAAAGTAACTGTATTACAAAAACGGATACATGCAACATCATATTAGAAATAGCAATTTTCTTTGACAATTTAACAGCTATATCGCATTTCTCTAAAATCCCGGACTCATAGCAAACGGAAGGACCCTAAACGTTTTGTCGTACCCTAGTCAAAATCTTTTGGGCAGTGTTAGCCTTTGTAGTCAATATTCATTTCCATTTTGATAAGTTTCTCATTGTAGACAGAGAGCCATTAAGCACAGAAAAACAGAGAAAAAAATAGATAATGATGAAATACTCAAAGGGAGATTGCTCGCAACGCCTTCATACTTGCGTAGGGTCGCCATACATAAGTAAAGGGATGTCTAAGATGCCAGGAATGCCGAATGCCTGAATTTTCAAACAAAACGCACGCCAATATATATTTTTTAAAAAACGTTGCGGCGTTACCTACTGCTCAAATCATATTAAATTACTGTTCGAAATGTGACAAAAGGTCGCGAAATTATATAATGCCTGTCTCTGATCAGCACCGGCCGCCAAAATATATCGTCATCTAGCCTATTAAGACGTCAAAACGCCTGTCAAATGCTTCAAATGACTGTCAGATGGCAGCCCTATCGCGGTGCGAACGCACTTCGGGAGATTAATTTAAACGTACATTCATATGTAGACTTATTGCGTTTTCACGAGCTTTATCCCCTTTCCGGGGCCCGAATAAAGCGAAGCGAAACGCAGGCTATTGTAAATTAACAAATGAGGCAACTCCTAGCCCTGCGGCGTACAAAAACTGTGCGCACGGTACGCGAGCGCTCTGCGGCAGAATTTTATACGCGAAACCTCTAACTTTCTCCGGGAGCGAGCCGAAAACTTTTTTCAAGCGCTAATCGGTGCAAAGGGAAAGATTATCCGCCAACTTGAATCGACAATTCAATCGTTTAATTCTCCTCTCAGTGTCGGGAGCGTTGTTTATCGAATTTTCGCATGTTACGTAAAGTTCACGGGGTGATGTAATTAAGGAGGGCCGCGAGACGGGATGTGAGTTACTGCTTGTGAGATGACGCATTTCCATACTGCGCGGCGGTCAAAAATTGTTCCGCTTTACATTACATGACATATGTATGAGCGAACGCGACAGATGATACAGACCGTATGCTATAGAAAGAGATAGCAGTCTATAGAATTGCAATCTAATTACACCAATTGGTGTAATTTGGCCTCAGTTTCGGTGCCCTAGTGCAATACCTTTGTATATATGAGTAACACCATTGAATGCCAGCATGTTGTCGCTTGGCGCAATCCAACCTCGTTGTTCGTTATTTCATATACGATTTGTGACCTTATTTCCCGCCTTCGCACGCTCATAACAGACCTAATAAAGGCGAAGCGCCCCTCAAGGTGCCTTTTGATAATATAAGGGGGATATGATTACTACGCACGGAATCTTTGTGATTGATTACTATAAATAGGAACGTCGAAATCTGGCGTCGGTTCATCGCGAACTTCTCGGTGACCTGTACCAATACATAGACGGTCGTGATTTGTTTACTCGATTTTAGATGCCGGCTTATTGGAAAAGTTTCGTCACAGCGGTGCACGGACGAAAATTTCGCATCACCTCTTAGTTTTGACAAACAGTCAACTTTGCACAGAGGGAATGTACTTGTTTTTGTACAAAGTCCACTTTGCTTAAAATAATTGTGCAGGTTTATTTAATTCATTGACAAAATTAAAAGGCTAATATTTTCAAATTTTCAATAAACATACGAAAACATCGTAATGTGTTCACTTTAACGTTATATTTATTGTAATCGATCGTTTAGTGGTAAATCGTGACATAAAAATGTGTTAAATACGGACTTTTTTTTATGCGAAAAGTTGTCAAACGAGCAGACGGTTCACCTGATGTTAAGTGAATACCGCCGCCCATGGACATCTGCCACACCCGAGAGTTACAGATGCGTTAACAACTTTACGTTTTTTACGTTTTTAAAAATTGGGCTCCAGCTACCTCACTCACCAGACGAAACGCAAAAGTATTTGTCATACTTCCACTTTACGCTGGTCTTCTGTGAGGTCGTGGTACTTACCCGGACGGGCCTGCCCATTCGTGCAACAGCCGAGGCTGCTGCGTGGCCCTACCACCGTTATAGCTTATACTTATAGCTTAGACTTTTCCTGTTCGGTTATTAATTTAATCGATTAAAAAGGATCTCTGTTTACGACCAAACTGTTCGAGGAAAACTGGATTGGATAAATCAAGCAACGATAACGCAGAGCCGGGACCGCTAATGAGAAAAGCGAATAGTTCAATTCGTATCTAGGACATAAACAAGTATTCGGCGATAGAGTCCTCTCGGCGTGTAGGCGCGGCGTGGCCCACTTTGGCCGAAGGACGAAACAATCTGAGTGGTAAATTGAGATGAGCCGAGTCACTGGACCGCAAACATTCACGCCTTCCACTCGGGGATAAGCAGAATAGTCCACAATTCGTGAACACAGCACGCAGACGAACGGAAACACGTCTATGCCGTATTAAGTCGATTGTGAACAATTACAAAGTAGCTTAACGCTAACTTCGAACATTTTGCAAAAGCTACCCTAATGGCATTGTAACGTCCAACAATACATTGAGGACAACGATGTGTGGAAATTGCACTTACAAGACCCCCGGCTGACGCTGATATTATACCTAAATAAGTTTGAATAATCGTGTCGCAAAAAAGAGATAACAAGACCGCATAGTTTCTTTCCGGTTCTTCTCTTTTCATTTCTACTTTAGTGAACCGATGGTAGTTTTTCTTTATGTTCAATAATAGCTTAAAAAAATAAGCCTATATTCAATAAAGAAATTTTAACTTTGACTTTGAACGTTAGGCTACCGAAACAAAGTACCTTTTCCTGCAAACTTCAAAACAGGAGACGGTTTTCAATTCGGTTGTTGATAAGTATATATGCAGTTATATGCAGTTATTTTGGCGCGTTACGAAAAAATACGAAAATTTTTAAGATGCGCGCGCACACCGACACCCAATAAGCGACATGATGAAATAAGTTACAGAGCGGCCACCTTCACATTGCCATGGCAACCAATAATAAAATTAACGTTTAACGCTACAACTATCAAAAACAACTATTCGCATCTCATTCGGTCATATCTTTACGTCCGGTAAAAAGATATGTTGACAGTGACATAACTACAACAGTCGAAGCACTACACACAGCATACTTCGACTGTTGCTATGTTATTGCTTTGGTATACGCTAATTTTCGCGTCTTATTGAGACGAACACTGAGGCACATAGTTTCTTTGACATGAAGTATTGTTTGAGTACTGTAAGACGTTCTATTTTTCTTTAAACACTGAGACCTGGTAAATGCATATTATGGAATCCCTTCGCTGGGCTACCACTGACCTATGACGACAATTCGTGGTTTCTGTATATTGCCAAACACAATGCCCTACCCCACCCTACATTCTGCATGCCGTCTTAGTGGATAGGCTAGAAATAATACAGTAAGCAGTTGTATAATTATATAACTTTGCCTTGCGGCGTGGTCTCGAAGTAAACATTTTTTTAGAATTGCTTACAAATTATACAGGTGATAGTAAATTGTTAAGTAAACTGCTTTTTCACGTAACTTATTTCGTTTTTTTTAGTTTATATGTAACGTTCCGCCCCATTTTAAACGCGGGGTCCCAATCTGTAGAAACTAGTTAATTTTTGCAGTTTTTAACATTTATGAGTTGAACAAAATTTAATGACCATAACCTTTAAGCGTCAATACATCACTTATATATATATATGCATCAGACAATTATGTGCAAATTGTTCCTAAAATTTAGATCCTTGACTTAAATTAAAATATTCCAATGATCAAAAAATTTGGTGTTGTCGTAACCAAATTGTTATTAATGTAAATATAAGTTCATAAAACTTTAATTATAGATGTTTTATGAAATTAATCTATTAAATAGTCTTGTATACTTTAAAATTTTAGGCGTAAGCCTCCAAATACTAGGTCGCTACTTATAGATAGATAGAAAAAAAAATAAACGATACAATTAATAAAATCATAGTTCGCAAAAAAAAAGTTCTTATACTATCCTGCGAATAATATGTTATTCGATACCGTTCGTGGGTTACACAATAATGATCGCTTTAGAATAGTGGTTTGTTAGGAAGTCGCAATCAAGACCAATATACGATCTGACACAAACGGTATGTTTGTTTGCGAACTCTCGCCCGCGGCCAACTCTGATTCACGACTATTCACCAACGCTGCGAGCCACTTAGACGGAGCCCAGATATTTACTACGTTAGAGGCCAGCCAGTTGTACATCGTACATTTGTGTCCGTCATGCCGCCGTAGCGCAAAAAACACTACCGTGTGCGTGCTCCCACGAGCAAATTTAGGCGCAATTTGTTGTAATAAACAAGCGGGTCGTCCGCCGAACGCCGAGTTCCGGTCGTACACGTGAAAACAAAACATGTTTTGAGGAGCTGGAGGCATGCGGGAGCTAGGAAGGCGTTTCGCACCGACTGCTCGCCGCTGCATTCCACGGCGGCCTACAACTAAACTTACTTGTCGGCCCACAAATACTTATAGAGCCTCCGTAGTTTGGAGCGGTGTTTGACCTGCAGACGCAAACAAGAGAGGCGCATGCGTCGGCCGCCGTAAACACTGCCCGCTGCCGGGCCGGCCCACGTGGTGCCTGGGGATAGGATACATAGAACGCACCGTCAACTGCCGCCGCGGTCACACCCAGCACCAACACTTGTAGTAATATGAGCGCCATAAAAACAAAATCATTTGCACTGCACGCGGGATCCTCGACTAGCGGGCTGCGTAAACACAAGCGGCGCAGCCCGCTCCCTCCGGCGCACTGACGCGCTCCGTCGGCGTAGCGTGTACTGTAGGCACGCACCGCGACCGCCGAATCGTTCGATGTCTCGCCGACTAATCGCGAATTCGATAGAGCCTTTCACGTTACTTCTTATTCTTAATGCCATTCGCTTTATTTAACTATTTTCACCCCTCTCATTTGCTAGTTGTGTCCGTTAATGGCAGACGATAAAAACTTTATGTCTCGAATAGTTAATACGGCAAAAACTATCTCGCATGTCAGAAACTAATATAACAAATAAATTAATGGGATTCTTATACGTATTTTCTTAGAAAAACACATTTAACAAATCCATGGTTATTACTTTGGTTAACAAATCCATGGTTATTACTTTGGATAGTACAGACTCAGTAACTTTTATTGAGGCTTTTTATTTTTTGAAATTCGCTTACTACAAAGCAATACTGCTTCTAAAGCGAACGCACCACTTCAAAACACTTATATGAGTACTTAACTTGTTTATGAACAACATTTTTATTATATGAGTATCGATATTGTAACATCGAAAGGCCGCGCCGCGTTGCCGCCATGTCGTCCCCTCCCCCCGTTAGCCTGCTCCGCACTCGCTCCATGTCCATTCAACGCATTTACTGTCATAAGCAAATCGATAATCGCATTATACTTCCGCTTTCAAGCACGCGCGCTGCAACCAAACTATGTCACAAGGTACATCGATTGTTTTGCGCTGATTTCTTTCAGGTGACAGAGTGAGAGCGAGCGTTGTACGTACAAACAATACCGCACTGTCACCACGCTAACTTTTGTAAAGTTGGAGAGTTGCAAAAGAAAAAAAAATATTGTTAGATTGAGAACTTTTCAACTCCCCACTATTTGGAGCGGTGTTCCATTGACGTTTAACTTCAAAGGGCTTAATCGGAGCGATGCCTTAAAATAGGCTTAGTAATAGCGTTTCGTAACGTTATAAAAATGGTCTATTATAGAATATACTTTCTAAAGACATAGAAAGGTCTTTGGTATGACATAGAAAATTATGTTCTTTGATTATACACATGATTTTTTACTTTTTACAAATTAATTGTTATATATCTCTTTATGTACTAGTGAAGAATAATAAACACAAACAGGTTAAATGTATAACGAAATTATGTGAACCGTCAAAATTCCCGCCTGAAGTCGACGAAATGTCGTAACGCACGCCGCGTAGGGGTAGGTCAGTGTGCAATGGCGCGGCTGCAGCATGACGCATCGACGCAACTCAATTAGAGGCCTCTGCGACCACAGTACAAGTGTTGTTCGACTTCACGCCGGCACGTCACTAATTTAAAAAACATAATAAACATTTTTTTATTATTTATATGACATTAAATATTTTTTGCCAGCATATTATGGAAGGCGTAGTTTAAAATTTTTTTTATTTGGAAAATAAGTAATTATTCGATGTTATAACATGCCACATAATATCATAAGTCAATGCCAATGAGATTCAGTCTTATATATTATGATTCTATGAGGATATACATCCCGTTGAACTCTTGTGCTATTAATAAAATAGACAAGGAGTTTTGTGACTATTTCAATAATTAGGTATTAAATATTTACAACTTTCTTAAAAACCACTTACATTTATGATTTAAAATGAAGCAGGGATTTAGTGAATAATTTATTTAATGGGATCAGAAAAAATTTAATTTTATATCATTTAGGTATTGAATTGTTTACTTTGTAACAACGTTGCTTGCTTTTTTATTCTACTCGCACAAAGTCTCAGAAAATAAAGATGAAAATTCAACGAAACATTTGTGTTAGTATTATAAAATAGTGGATTTATACGAAATTTAACCAGCTTGTCCCAGTTATCTATCCCACCCACGCGTTCTACATACATTTAAAGCCGGTATGTATTTTCTCACGCGTAGAAGGAAAAACACTGTATTATAAATAGACACACATTTATAATTTTGAAACAAAGTCTGGCCTTTATATAATGTATGACAGCCTTGAGCTAGAGTTAAACCAATCGGGTTTTCCATAAAGGCCCGCCTTTATGGACAACGCGATTGGCTTAATGGGTGAGTGTGGGTTCGTTCCCCGCTACTGGAATGAGGTATGATGAATGGTGGTGTTTTTCCAGTGTCTGTATGTTTATATATCTACAATATGTATTTATTTAGAAAAGAAAAGTATTTTCTTGTATTTACGCGATTACACATTATAAATGAAACTAATTTTACGGATTTATCGCGTTTATTTTTAATTTTAGTTCCCGACGTTTCGAACCCTTTACAGCGTTCATGGTCACGGGACAGACTGAGGTGTTAGATGTCTGATTGTCAAATAGAAGTGGGCGATACAAATCGTATCAGATATGTAAACTAGATATTAGTACAATATCCGAATATCGCTTACTGGCTCGTTCAATATCTATGTATTTTACAATATCTGATATTTCCGAAATCTGATGTACCGTGCTCGCTCGCTATACCGACACGAATCGCGATATCATATGCGTTTGCCACAATATCTGATTTTTGAACAGATTTCAAGAGACAAAGCGCGTGAGATACAAATACTCACTAGTTAGAGCGGGACGGCAAGCAATGCACGATATCAGATTTTTAAACAGATTTCGAGAGACAAGGCGCGTGAGATATAAATACTCACTAGTTAGAGCGGGACAAATACGAATTACGGTATTAACGATGTCTTTAAATTTTGTTTAGCCTTGAGCTGGATTGCATTGGTACCTAGCACGTAATAGTAAGGGATGCCAACTTACTACTTAAGAATTTTCTGCCTAAATTAAGGAAGAAAAAATATACAATGGAAATTTTTTAGGAGGTAAATTTTTTGTGAATATTTTTATTAGTTAATTTTATTCATATTTTTGGAAAAAAAAAAATAAAACTACACAAAAAGAAAAATATAATTTAATAGCGCTGTGTTGCTTGGGTGGAAATCAGACCAAGGCTTATGTGCTTTGTGTGTATATTTTAAATTCTTCCGCCCTAAGTTATACTAAATGTATTATTTCTTACACAAATTATAAAAATATTGTCACTCATGATTGCGCTTTAGAAATATGTTTAAGTCAATTATTAAGCGATATATAAAATGTTAAAATAAATCATTTTTATATTAATTCAATTTGTATTTTTTATGATGAAGTTTTTTTTAAATTCATAAGTTTTAATTTTACCTTAATAGTATAAAAATATCGTGATTTTAAATTCAGTAAGTTTTTTGAATTTATAAAATTTTAGTGGGTTTTCGAATTTATTTAGGAGTAAATAAATTCGAAACATATAAACATAATAAATAAATTTAAACCCGGAGGAATCTAAATAATTATTGAAAACATTTTTTTTTTTTTTTTAGAATTCAAGGTGGATACGGGACCGTAAAAAAAATATCTAGATATTAAAATACATAGTTTCGAAATCTGATATTTGAAATCGAAATCGGATTCAGATACGGTACTCAGAAAAAGCGATACGACCCATCTCTATTGTCAAAGTTAACCCGGGCTACCGTCAGTTTTTGTATTATTGAAACGACGTCGGGAACTAAAATTAAAAATAAACGCGATAAATCCGTAAAATTAGTTTCATTTATAAAGAAAAGTATGTTTAATGACCTGTCCATTCGTGCAACAACGTAAGGAATACGAACCTATTTGGTGACATATTTTTCTTGTAAATTTATGTTGTGTGGGGTGTTAAAATACTCAGTCGGTAATAACATCTCCGAGCAACGAAGTATACCTTGGTGGTCTGAAATAATAAAACTATGGATGCTTTGCTGATGTATATTGGATACATTGTAGAAACATTGTAGACATACATTGTAGAAACGCGTTATATCGATAATTTTTTCATAAACCCGGAATGGTTTTACTTCTGAATTAACAACCCAGTGAAACATTAGGCGATTGCTACTTAAAGTAAAATAACAGCCTATACATGTACACTGCTGGGTAAAGAACTCCTCTCTATACATATAATATGTGACTACGCCCTAATACCAGGGTAGTCACCCACGCGACCCAGCTTTTAGACATATTTTCACATATTTTCAAAAATATTCTTTTTACAATTATTTTGAGAATATGCAATTTCCTCACGGTGTTTTCCTTAACCGTTGAGCACGTGGCAGGTCAGCACCTAAAATTGAAAGTAAAAATTTTATCGGTGCCGGCAACGGGATATGAATTCGGATCTATTACGGTGAATATTACGGGTCCACTTAACATCAGGTAAGCCGGCTGTTCGAATGGCAAATTTTCACATAGAAATAGATTATGCTTGAAGTACGTCCTACGGCGAACGAAATGAGATATTAGCTACACCGTCTGTTTGTTTCTACTCGAAAAGACGCCTGTGTCCCGCGGGGTGCATTACTGATGCACTAAATCCCAATTAGAGGCACGCATCCAGATGACATCAGAGGCAGCCAAAGTTCAATTGCCGGGGACGGGGTCAATTAGAAAGCAGCGATGAACCTTACGCGCCTGGACGTTCTCGTATGACGTAAGCTTAGTGCTGGATCTATTGTGGGAAAGCTCGTTTGAAACGCGATACGGTGTTTTCTCCAGTTACTGACTGAAGTAATAACATCCCGCTTAGGCAGTAAGCAAAGATAGAATTATCACAAATAATTGGAGGGGACGAAAACTGTTAAAGCGAGTATGCAATTTGACTGCTCGACGCGGAGGAATGTAAGATGTTGAACCTATACCTATACGTGGGACACACATAATTTTGAGAAACTAAAAAACTAACTTATATGGACAAAATGTTTTCATACCATAGAGACACGGTATTATTAATATAATAAATTCAATTTGGACATCAAAAAATATGTGTAGGGATATTTAAAATTCGAACAATGATCTTTTTACTTTTAAATTATTACATTTTTCAAAATAATTATAATCAGCCTGGACCTCATACATAAAAACTTTTATCGCTTTTTTTTTCGACCTGGTACATATGTTGTACAGATGTACTTTTGAGGCCTTTCGGTGATCAAACGAGGGGGCCGATTTTAATGGTTCTTACGAATTATCTTAATGTTGCAAGTGTCATTAAAGATATAAATAATAAATAAATTAATATTTTATGAAACATTTTTGTACAATGTTCTCTAGTCCCAAACTAAGAAACGCTTGTACTATGGGTACTAAATAACTGATAAACATACTTTTCTTTTGTAAATAAATACATATTATTTTATACATATATAAACACCCAGACTCTAGAAAAACACTGTACTCATCACACAATATTTTTCCAATAGTGGATATCGGACGCACACCCTGGCGCAGGAGGCAGGTACACTACCCACTATGCCGTTCGGGTCGCCAAAAACATGATACTAAATTTAAAACAGCGTATAGACAAAGCTTCCATACAAACAACATATTAGACTTTCAAACAAATTGTCTATTACACAATTTTTTTGTGTTTTTTGATTGTATAATTCAAGGTATTTGTTTTAAATAAAACCTTAACGTTTTCATAGTGTTTATAATTAATTTGAATTTTTACTTATATTTTACTTATTAGATACTGTACCGGGGCGCTCGCTTCTATTTCAACAAACTCGAGCCAAACTTCGTGAGAAAACCCGTGACGTGGTATACTACGCCTACTACGTAGTATAGCTACTGTTTAGAGGAGGTCTTTACCCACAAGGTCTTATGGGTCTTTATAATGAAACTGTTTTCATGGATTTATCACGTTCATTTTTAATATTAAATCAGACCGAGGCGTTAGACAACGAATGTTATTGCTAATCTGGGCAACCGCCAGTTTCTTATATAATTAATTTTGTGTCCTATTTACGCAGAAAGTTTGATTAAGCCTTGTCTTGCAGCAGCGGTCTAGGCCAGGGCCTAGATTTAATCTTATACATGATGGGATCCAAACCAATGGATGTGCCTCCTCTATTGCCACTTGGATACCTATTTTTTACTTTCAATAGCCTTGCGAATCACCTCTGAGAGCAATCGGTGTTCTTCTTTGAAATTGTCATTTACGACAACACAATAGCTTCTGGCGGTGTATGACGTGACTCCCGCAAAAAGATACCATCATCATCATCATCATTTCAGCCTGTTCGAGTCCACTGCTGAACATAGGCCTCCCGCACAGACTGCCACGAAGCACGATCCCGAGCCACCTGCATCCATCGCCTTCCCGCACATTTGCACAGCCCGCCACTCCATCTAGTGGGGGTCGTTCTACA